CAATGTGGTAAGCTTTTCTGAATATATGGTTTTGTGAATATGAATGAGCCTTCTATCTGTCCGATCATTATGATATTTGTAAATGTGATTGATGAGATACGAATGTATATGATGGACCTTAGGTCGTTCTGTATGTTTGAAATGTTCCCAAGGTTGTTTTGTATATTTGAAAGACCCAATGTTGTTTTGTATATTTGACAAGATGGACCCAAGGTCATTCTGAATATCTGATAAGTCTGAACATCTGTTATGTGTTGACCAAATGGTCATTATATAGCTGTAATGAATTGGACCCAGGGTCGTTTCACCAAGTATGATCTATTCTGTTCTGTATTTTTGCCTATGTTGGACCAGAGATCATTCTGTTAGAATTGGATCCGAGGTCGTTCCGCTATATAATAGGAGAATGATTTTGTTAAGTCTTAGAACTCATTCATATAACCTCTTAACTCCGATGTTATTCACTAGGCTTTAAGTTCACTCTGTTATATATATATATATGTATGTATGTATGTATGTAGGTGAGTAGCGGGATGCCCAGCCTTAGGGAGAAGTTCGGTGTTTACCCAAGTTTTGTGTAGTCAGCCAAGGAGCGCCTCATGAATGAGGCTTTTGTCTTTCGTTCCTTTGTTTTCTTTTGTTGGTCATGTTTGACCGTGTTTGTACTTAAGCTTTGGGTTTTGTATGATGATGACTTATGAATAATCTTGGATATGTAATATCTATTTGTGTATGTATGGATGTGAGTTATTAACGTATTAAATGGTTTTGTTTATACCATGTATGCATAGCTCATTGGACAAAATTTTATAATTCTATTTTCGCTTCTGACCCCATACAATTAAATATGGTTTGAATTTTGTTCAAGGCCGTAGGTAATCTCATGGTTACTGGCCTGTTATAATCCAAACCTCTAGGGGCAGGTTCGGGTCGTGACAGTTCCCATGGGACAAACCGTGATGCCACAACTTGGGTACGTAACCCTGATGCGTAAGCATCATTGGTAGTTATTGCTGTAACGTTTTTAACTATAACCAAAGGGGAGTCAGAATTGCCAGTAGCCATTGTTTAGTAGTTGGATAGGAATGGTGCTCCGCGGGGAGTGACCTAGATAAACATGATCAACTAACCCAATGAGAATTCAAAAGAAAAGTTTGGCATTTCTCCTATGATGATTAACTGCTTCCGCAGGTTCCTTGTTCTTATTTATTTATTTATTATATTTTTATTGATTAACTGCTTTCGTATGTTCCTTGTTCTTATTATTTATTAATTTTTATACTTGTTATTATTTTTATTCTATCTGTTTCACTAAGTGTTGCTTACTATTATGTTGTTACACTATATACATATTGTTATCAAGGTGGATAATTTTAGGTCGTAGTATCCTATTGGGTTTTGCAGCTCATGGCTTTCTTTGTATTGTCCTGACATTTTATGCCAGGTACTGAGGAAGCCCAAGGAAATGCTGAGACGTACGAAGGCAACGATCAGCCTTGGTTAACGTGAAGCATGCTCAAGTCCTATGAACTTTTTTATTTATTTAGTTTCAACTATATTTCTTATTGTGAATATACCAAGACAAAGTTTTAAGTTTAATTTGGGGTTGTAATTTGACAATTTTAAATTTTCCACTTTTATAATTGATGGATGATGACAAACAAATTGGGAACAAAGATCATTAGCTCTTAATTAAGATTAATTCTCAAGTTTAAATCTTACTATGATGTCCTCAAATTTTGGGGCGTCATAGGAAGTCTCAGGTATTTCAATGATAGTGCCTCAATACCACATCCTAGAAGCGTAGCCATTTGCTAAGTCGATTATGTTGCATATTAATGCCCACCACACTACTTTTTTTTCCAAATTAACCTTAAGCGTTGAGATTACTCTAAAAATTCTCAATACTGAAAAAGATTATCTATTTGGCTGTCATCCCCCAAGGAAAAAAAGACAGTATCATCCACATATTGTAAGTGAGTCACACTAACCCTATCTCTACCAACTTCTAGTCTCTCAAAAAGACCTACCTCTCTAGCTCTATCAACCATCCTTTCTAACACAATCGGCCACCAAAATAAATAGAAAAGGGGATAATGGATCCCCTTGTCGTAATCCTCGAGAAGCCTTAACACTCTCCATCTTTGGATTTATGAATTTGAAATGAATGGATTTGAAATCAATAATTTGAGGAGTATAACCTTTAAGTTAATATAATAATTTAGATTTAGATACTAAGAATGAATTTGAGAAGCTTTATAATGATGGTTTTTAAATAACTTCGTAAAAATAGTTATTTGTAATCCTTCCATAAAAGATCTACTTGTACAAGAATCTTAAGAAAATAATGAAACAAGCATCTATTCAATTCTCCACTTTGGAGTTATCATCTACTTGCAATAACTAATCTTATAATTTTATAAGATTTAATTTCAAATCCATTTGTTTGTAATGCATCCATCCAAACGGGCCCTTAGTCCTTTCCAAATTGGGATATTCCAAAATGGAAAATGTTTGAGACTAACAAAAAGCTCCCACAATTTGACCCACAATGATGTGGTTTGGTAGGTGTCAACTTTTAATTTGTTATATATCCAGTGATATAAGGTTCCACTCTTTTGCCACATCGTTTATGGGTCATGGTTTTGAGTTTGATTTGCTATCATTGTAATGGTTGATTTGAATACTGTTTCGTTGTGTTGATTTTAAAATTTTAGGGACGAAATTCTTTAAGGAGAGGGGGAGGTTATAACGATTCTGGTTTAGACCCCAACTCGTTTATTGTTTTGGATTTGGATTCCTTATCTTATATGGTTGTTCATACCCTTACACATCCTCTTTTTGATTGAGTTTGGTTATTTGGATGTCATTGTTGCGTTTGGAACAGGTTGGGAGTCTGTTTTTCAAAGGAATCTTTGCCTAGATTTTGGTCAGTTTGCTCGAGCGGTCTTTGAAAACTTCCAGTATATTTGTAGTGTTTTTCGCTCGAGCGGTGTTTCTTGCTCTCGAGCGGTCTTTGGGAACTCTCAGTACTTTTGCAGGCCTACAAAAGTACTGGGAGGGTGGTGTTCTTTGCTCGAGTGATCACTTTGTTCGCTCGAGTGGTCTCACTTATCGTGTCTGGTCACTCAAGAGGTGTTTTGGTCGCTTGAACGGTCTGCGCGTATATCAGTTCGTAAAACTCACTTTTTGAGTCACTTTTCATATATCTCTCTTTCTAAACATTTCAAAACCCTAAATCTAGACCACCTCTCTCTAAAACTCATCTTCAACCTCCAAATGCTCTTAATCTATTAGTTTCTACACCATTATCCTTTGGGAAAAAGGGTGGAGCTTGCTTGGAGCTTCCATTTGATCGGAGCAAAGTTCACTTTCAAGTTCGCCAAGTTTTGTGCTTGCTCTCCCTTGTCTTCTAGCTTTGAGGTAGGGATTTCTCCATACTTTTTTATGGTTTTTAACTTAGTTATTTGATTTTCTAAACAATGTTGTGATTTGAGAACTTTTGAACAAAATCTAGCGTTTTGGTTTAAAAATCAAAAGAGGAGTTTTCAAAGAGTTTTTTTGAATATGATTGTGGATTTGTAAATGTAGTTGAGTTGTGATAAAATGGTGGATTTTTATCCTTGGAATTGATTTATAAAGGAAAAGGGGATTTTTGCCCTAAAATACGAATATTTGATTTTGTAAAGAGAAAATGGAAATGATGTTGGGTTCTATGGAATTGCAATGATGATGATGGTGATGGTGGAGTTGGATATGTATTATCACTCCTATCTTGAAATTTTGGAAAGTTTATCTTTATTGCAAATTATCTATCTGTTTTGGGCTATCGGTGGAGGATAGCCATGATTGTTGTAGAAATTGCATGAGAACTAGGAGAGTTGAAATTAATTTCTCATCCATTTGCATTGAGCATTGTTGCATACTTGACACATTGAAAATGTATATTGTTTTGAGAGAAAGGAGTGAATACCTTGATGAATCTGGGTAGGGGTTGTGGTTGTGGTATTATTGTTGGTCTGTGTGTCCTTGGTGAAAGTCCAAAGACCCGTGCGGTTAGGTGCCGAGTCTTCCGGTTAGTATCGGTAAAAATGACAATTGGTAGTGCTTGTATAAGCCTACTTGCAAACACGTACCTAGAGATTCCCAATGTTGTATCCATGCCCTGTTTTCTATTGTAAAGGAAATTTGGCATTGCATGGTTTTGGAAAGAGATATAAAACGTGTTTTGACACGAGTATTGCATATGCATTCACCTCATAACTTTGTTAAGATTCATACACTGTTAGAGTATCTATACTAGGTTTTGGCTCACCCTATATGGAAAACCATTTTTAGGTATTGATGATATGCCTCCGCTAAGGCTGTAGCTCGGGAGGACTTGGAGTCCAGAGCTTTTTGTTTTATTTTTGTTGTATTTATTTTATACAAGCCTAAGGTTTTATTTGTATTGAGTTTAAACTCACTTTTGGTGTAACCAAGTATCGTCTTGGAAAGTTGTAACCATTAGGACATTTATACATCTGTTTAACTTTTATTTCATACTAGTAACTTGTGGCACATGCTATAGATTTAGGATTAGGGCTTATAAATGTATAACGACATGTGTTACCTTTTGTACAATGGGATCATATGAATGGAAGGATATTATATGTAGAACTGTGTTGTCATTTAATTAATATCGTGGGATGAATTATAGTTGTTATTTTCGGGGTGTTACAGATATTTTGCAAAAAGCATTTAGCTATGGTTTTGTAAGTTGTTTCCCATAGCCATTTTAAGCCATTATTTCATGATGTAGAACTTACAATGGTTATTCCATTTCTAGCGTTGCTAAAAGACAGATTGATTATAAAAATATTCAAAACTCAAATGAACGACACATAGCAAAGGAAACATCATAATTGTTGTTTGTTCACAAGTATGTGATGTCCTTAAATTTAGTTCATAATCCCAGGTATAAGAATTATATCCAGTGAGTAGTTTTTATCTTTATGTAGGGTTGGACTTACGGGTTGGATGGAGCACTTCTAAAGGCAACTAGAATAACAGGAATTCGGAACTTCAATGTAAATGTATGCAGCGATGTCATTAGCAATCTCAATATCTCATTCCTATTCTTGTACTGTAGGATAATATGGGTGATTTATATGTCCATGGAGGGTAGGAATTTGGACTTATTCCACTGAAAGTAGCTATTTGGGGACCATTTGTTCTGCTCAATTTGGAAGACATTCCGCCTCAACAAGCAGCTGATGTCAACAATATAGGAAAAGAGTGGCTTGGTAGCTCATCAGAGATACTGAGTACCAACGGAGTTGACTCTTCTCTGAGTTACATTTGCAGACGTGAATATACCATTGAATGTAACTGGAAGGTTTGGTCCTTAACATGTTCTAAAATCATGTTGAATTCCCTCCTATTTCTTTTCGTTAATGAATGACCCTTTCTGTTGCCAAGGTATTATTTCCCCATCATCGTTTTCTCTGAGCAAAAGAAATTAACATTGTATTTGACTACTTACCCACATAAAGAAATATATGTATACATGTCTTTGACTAAATTTCAGTGTCTCATTTATCGAATTAATTTCATCAGTTCTGTTCGCTATTTATATTTCCATGAATCACTGATAATTTTACAACTTGTTCATGCAGGTTTTCTGTGACAACTACTTGGATGGTGGTTATCATGTACCATATGCACATAAAGGTCTTTCATCTGGTCTTAACCTCGAGTCCTATTCTACCACAGTATGTTCACTAAGTTCATCTTCTTGTTATTCAACTCGTAGTTGCATATTGCAAATAATAGTACTCTGGCTCTGACAATGCCTTAAGACCCTGACGTTCTTATTTTTCTAATTTGAGTTACATTTTCAGATAAATTATTTCTAGTGTTTTCTTTTAAACCATACTTCTAATGATTGTCTTTACAAATGACAGACATTTGAGAAAGTTAGCATCCAACAATGTGATGGTGGTTCAGCGGAAACTGAGAATGAGTATGAACGACTTGGATCTAAAGCTCTGTATGCTTTCATTTATCCAAATTTCATGATTAATAGGTAACCCCCTCCTGCTCATTAAGATATGTGCCTGTGGTTGGTTGTTAACTAATTGATAATCACCTCTCCGTACCCGCAGGTATGGGCCTTGGATGGACACCAATCTAGTACTCCCAATAGGATCCAGAAAATGTCAAGTGATATTTGACTACTTCCTTGATGCTTCCCTTAAGGTAACTTTTCTTTTCTTCCAATTAGCACATTTAATTAAGTAAATTCTATGGCCATAACAAAAATACAAAATAAAAAAAGAAGAAAAATAGAAATGCAAAGAAAAGAGGGAGTGAAAGGAAATGACAGGAATATCCTTGATGGAAATAACTGCAAGTTTGGAACTAGTATAGTGTATACGTGATGAATTAGGGCTGTGCAAAATACTGCCTAATTTGCCCGATCCATGCCAAACTGCTCTGAACCGAGTAAATTGAGAGAGCAAGGAGGTTTCAGCCATTAATTTGGCAGAGCAGTGCAAATTTAAGGTATCTTCACCCGCAGCTCAACCGACCAGCACCGTCTATCCCATACACGTGATATACCTACCTAGCTGTACCTAATCACTCCTCTCCAAACACTTAAGTCAGACTCTTTTGCATTTCGTCTCTTCACTTCTCTTTCTAGAGACTTCCTCTTCCTCTCTCTCTCTCTACACTTTGTGCCATCCCCCACACCACTACCACCAACCACCCACCATAAAGCACCAATCATGTGGATCCAGCACCTATTGAACAGGTCACATCCTGGTGTTCCTCCTCATTGTGGTTCTCTCCATTGCTGTTGGGTCTACTTTAATGGGTTGAAGAAGGTTTGCAAGAGCATAATGATGGTTGAAGGTTTCCGTGGCTGTTGGTGGTGTTACTGTATTCAGGTATATATGCATATATGTGTGTTCATATTTGGTTATTTAAAAAGAATGAATAATAAATACTAATAATATATATTACTATCTATTTATGTTTTGGGTTTACTATATTCATATTTTTCATGACTCATTTGTTGAAGTACAGTTTTTCCTCTGATTTTTGAGTTCTACTAGCCTTCTAAGCACTTCTAACTTACATATTCTAACCCACCAATCTGCCCAACATGCTAATTGAAACCGCAAAAAAAGTTCAACCGACCTGCCGGTTTAATGGTTTGGCAGGTCGACTGTGGGTGAATAAATAGCCCCACCCGCCAAGGCCAGGTTGATTGCAAAAATCTTCTGAACCCGCATCACTCTGAACCGTGCACAGCCTTAGTGATGATGGACTTTCATTGGTTTCTGTTCATGGGGATTCATTGTTACATCTTTAAAGGGTAAATCATTGTTGTTATTATACTCCATTACCCTTTAATCCTGGAACCTCATGCCAGTCCGAATTCAGTAATACCTTTTCACTTAAAATTGTATCCCGGGTTTTCATGGATTCAATTGGAATCTGTATCTTGTGTGTGTGTTGAGAAGGGCTAAAGCAACATCATTTATCATGTATGTCATCGGTTTTAGATGATTCACAGTACAATTACTTTTCAGTTGAAAGAATTAAAACTTAAAATAATACTAATCTGGTATCTATTGCTTCCTCAGGAAGACATAGCTTTCATAGAGAGCAGTCTAGAAGATAGTGAACGAGTGCAGGTATGAACAATCCATGTTAACATCCCGATGATCTTCCATTGAAATATTTGGATTTGGAGAGAGATTTGGAAAAGAAAAGGAAAAAGGAAAAATGAAATGTCCATTGTCAAATCTTTCTGAATTCATGATTCAAACAGAGCTTTAGAGTTTTTTTTTTTTGTTTTTTTTTTTTTTCATGTGAATCTGCAGATGGAAGATATCATCTTGTGTGAAGGTGTTCAGAGAGGCCTTGAATCGCCTGCGTACTGTAGCGGTAGGTATGCTCCGTCCGTGGAGAAGGCCATGCACCATTTCCACTGCCTACTTTATCACAACCTTATTAATTAATTGATATCTAAATGGAAATTGCCAGTGGTTACCTTCAATCTTCATGCTTCTCACCTCTTTTCCCCATTACTGTGTGTGCTATATTATATATATACACTGGTGGTTATTCATTTGTTTATTACCATTGATTATTTTAGAGTAAATTATACTTTGCCCTTTTTATGTGGCAGTCAATGTGATATTTTTCAGTTAATTTTGAACAAATATTAGTTTTACAGGTAAATTGAGAAAAACTTGAAACGCGAATGGTCAAAGTAGGAAGAAAATAAACTTTAAGAGTCAAAGTCAGCATATAACCAAATATTAAGTGGGTAACGGATAATTTATCCTTTTTTTTAATTAATATATCAATATTAATTGTTTCCATCATTTTATTTATTTATATTATTGAAATTAAACTTTACATAATCAGCTATCACCATTGATTGCATTCATAATCACTTCATTTTTATTATCAATATTTTATTTGTCAAAATTCAACTTGATGACATTTCACCTTCATCATTGTTAATTCTTTTTTCATTTACCAAATTAGACTTGACACTTGATAATGTTATCTTTACACTTTTATAATCACTTGATCAATTTTATTAGGGATACTTTCATTTCAGTGGATTTGTAGAGAAATAATTTTAAATTGATGATAAACTTATTCGCCTAAAAAATTAATGATAAACTTTGCAGATATTAATAAAAAAAAAAAAAAAAAAATACTTTTACATAAATAATTTTTGGAAAAATCTCTTGAGATGTAATTATCCATTTTTATTCTGATTGCCTGATCATCTATTTTCATTGCCTATTTTTTTTTTACATTTTTTTATTATTATTAATGTTCAGTTCAGTAATGTTGATTATCACCATTTATAATTTAGTCATAAAGAAAGTAAAAACACCATTAAAAAAAGAAAATAAAAAAAAAAATTGGGTAAATTACAAACACACCTTGAGGTTTACTTAAATTACAAAATATTTCATGTGGTTTTAGAAATTATATTATGCCCTATAAGGTTTCTGATTTCATAACAAATAAGTCATTTTGTTAATAAATCATTAAGTTAATTAACAGTTTTTAGTAATGTTAAAATTTTATTTCAATTTAGAATTTAGATAATTTTATTATTGTATAGGTGAACAGTTAGAAATTTTACTTTTTTAATTAATTCTGTTAAATAAAAAATTTTGAGAGGGAGGTATTTGTAATTTTCAAACTACAAAGAGTAATTTGTATTTTAAGTAAACTTCAGGAGATGTATTTGTAATTTATCCAAAAAAATTAATAAATATAATAATTTGGTGACAAACAAATTAGCTGATACCAATTCAGACCAATTTTGTACAAATGATTGAGCTCTAAACTCCACCAAAATAAAGAAATGGGGTCACTGATGTGTTAAGGCACAGCAGTGAGCGTTATGTCTTAATTTGAGGTGTATTATTGATTTATTTTATGATCTGAATTATTATTTTGTAAGGTTTGTTGAGTACTTCATGCCTATCAAAAATTATATTAATCGGATATTAATAACTATATGATCGATAACCAAAAAAATAAACAATAAGTTTTTCTTTTGAGAAATAGCATAAAAATATGTTATTCAATCATATAGTTATTGATATCCAATTAATATGATTTTTGGTAGGCATAATGTACTCAACAAACCCTACAAAAGGCACGGTTCGAATCATAAAAATATATTCATAATACACATCAAATTGAGGCACAACAATTACTACTGTGTTAAAGGTACAACAGTAACCCCTCTTCCCACCAAATAAACACTATTTTTCCTCATGTCAGAAAAAAAAAAAAAAAACTCTCAAAATAATATTTTAATAACAAAATAATAATGAAAAATTAGTATGAGCTTTTTCCCCAATTCTCTCTACCAGTCATGGATGAAGATAATAGTATACATATGCAACTCTTGGCTGCCTCACTCATGTTAACCGACCCAAATAAATTGACGACTCATCCACCGCCTCCAAGCTGGTTTCTTCTTCATTGTACAGGGCGGTTAGTTTCTTTAAACAAAATGTGATGGAGAAGCTCATTCCATCTTTACTACTGACTTTACCGAGGCTTTTCCAAAAATAGGCCGACTTACTAACTTATTTATCAAAAAATTTCAAAATAAGCTGAAGTGTGTTTACAAAACACGCTTTTAGCATGTTTCTGGCCCAGATGCACAAAATGAATAAAATCATAAACGCGTGGTTATAAAACACACTTTTAATTAAGAAAATGCTATTCCTATTAGCGTTTTCATCTTTAGTGAAAACGTGTTTTCAAATCGCGCTTTCAATAGAAAGTTTGGTTAGAAACTACGCTTTTAAAAGAAAGCATGGTTCGTAACCACGTTTTTAAAGGCCATATAAAATGGCTCACCCCCCTCATTTGCAACCATGCTTTTTATAAACACTTCGGTTTTTTTTTTTCCCCCTGACCGAACCAGTTCTCCCTCTGCTCTCACTCTCTCTCTTCGTGGGTTCTCTACTCTCTCTCTCTCTGGGTCTCTCTCTCTCTCTCTCTCATTGGTATGTGGACTCTCTCTCTCTCTCTCTCTCACTCAGTTTGAATTTTTTTTGTGTTGATTTTGTTTGTAAAAATGTAAATGCGGGTACATAACAATGTGGGGTTTTGTGAATTCAAATTGGGGCTTTGTGAATTCAAATTTAGGAAGTTTAGAAGATATAATAGTTTGAATACAGTTTGGAAGATATAATAGTTTTGTGTATTCAAATTGTTTTGTGAATTCAAATTGATATCAATGTGGGTAGAATAGGGTTTGTGAATTGAAATTGTGGTTTTGAATTCATAGATTGAACCCTAGCTCAAGCCCTAGCCCTAACCCAATTCTAGGGTTTCAAATTGAACCCTAGCGCTTACCCAAAGTTTGTAATGCAAATTGAACCCTAGCCCTAACCTAATTCTAGGGTTTTCAATTGAATTTGAATTCACAAATTAGAGTTGGGTTTTTTTTTTTTTATTTATTTTTATTTTTTATGATTGTCAGGCAAATGTTCACAAAAATAATAAAAAATAAAAAATTTAAACTCTCTTAAAGCAGATAATAAGAATCTTATAAAAATTGTAAATTTTGTATAAAAATGAGTGCAATAGAGAATGAATAATTCTTTTAAACTCTCTTAAAGACTTTTTATTATTATTATTTTTTATATTTACTAGTTTTCACACAAAGATTGTTTGAACATAATTACTAAAATTTGCTTATACGGATTAAGATATTGAGGAATCATTTCAAGAACTTAAAAAGATAAAAATAAATAAATAAATGATTTTGTTAATTCATAGTTTACCAAAATTCAGTACATAAATTTTTAAAATATAAAATTATATGAAAACAATAATTTAAATGCAACAAAATTTCACTTAAATGTTACTCTTCTTACATTTTTAATTGCACAGTTACTAATTAAACTTGCATAATCAAGCTTATCTATTATATCATTTTCAATGGATTATATAATAAACTGCAAAATTACTAATTAAACATTACTCTTTTTAATTTTTAAAATTCATCTCCATCTGCAACCCAATAGTGACCCATTGCTGAATATAGATCAACCACCGTATATCTCATGATGATATTGCTCGATATATCTATACAAATTTTGTTGTAGTATGATGCGATATTTATTCACATATACACAGTTGTTGCAACATGCACAAATTCAAAATGGTGATGGACGCAAGTATTCATATCTTATAAACTCTAAACTCACATGCCGACAATAAAGTACTGATACTTCAGGAAGTTCACATGGTAGCTGTATGTTTAAAATTATTGTAAAAGAGTTGTCACGTCAACCTTTATGACCTCAACAACTATGCATCAACTTTATAGGAGTTGTCACTTCGACTTTTATTGACTACTCAGTGCATATCTGAAGGTTTTAAACAAAGTTCAAATCCACTTAGAAATTTAATTTCACTTTTCCGCTTACAAATATAATTCAATTTATTTTTCATTATACAATAGTTTAATTTCACTTTTTACCTTACATATTTAATTTAATTTAATTGGAGAAATTTAACCAATTTAATTTCAAGTTAACTATGTGTTGATTTAAGTCGATGTTGTTCTTGTCTGCATACTAGGCTAGCTTTTATCTGTAACACTTTCAAGTTCTATACATCGAAAAACCCATCTATAAGTACTCTACTACAAATTAATCTTCAATACATTCCAACTCTATAATATTTTCTCTTCAAGGTTTATAAATCTATTTGAAGCTGCATAGGGTGGCTTTTTTAAACACAAAGGGTCTAATTGTTTTGTTGTTTTGTTCTGACACCCCCTCATCCCATTATGAATTGCTGAAGTTCACATGGGCACAGTAGCTATGGTATGACCTCTTGCTTTTTTCAAATAGTGAGTAGTCTCGTCAAAGTCGTCGCAGTGATACATCCAACATTTCTCAGTCATGTAATAAATTAAAAGACTCAATGAAATGGTCAAGTTCACATGGTCACAGTAAACAGCGTACAGATGATTAGTCTTTTTTGAAAAAGTGAATAGTCACCTTTGAGTGACGATTAAAATACTGATTGTGTGGAGCGTGTTTAGCATTGATTGTTTATTACTCATAAATATGTGGGCTTTTAATGGCATGTGACTTTGTGCAGCGCGACTTAGATGCTTTGTTTTTTCCTCACATTTCAGATTTGAATTATTAATTACATTAATACGACCACATAGCAATAGTGTTGACAAACAACTATATAAAGGGCTGAAAGAGTGATGGTAAACACACAACCTTTCTACTCAGTTCTCCCTAGGAAACTATCATTCATTTATGGAGAAAAAATCAAATGGAGTATACATTTACGGTAAGGGGTAGGAATCGCAAAGGTGAGAGTTCACGACGAGGAAGAGGAACGGGAAGGGGACTCGCAAGCGGTAGGAACTTTGAAACAGGTGAGAGTTTACATCGAGAAAGAGGAGCAGGAAGGGGAAGTGGCGATGCTGAAGTTGAAACACCGTTTGCTTTGTTAGATGCCTCTTGTGCTTATCATGATAGGTTTGGGAAGCGACATTTTGTCAAGCTCAAGTACTATCGAGATCCATGTGGTTTCGTGGAGGATCCATCTGTTAATCAAACATGATATGGTTTAGCAGATGCTATACTTCTGAAGTGGCCCGCACTATTTATAGAGCGCGTGCAAAT